ACAGATAGTGGAGAAAATGAAAGAAATGTATTATTCAGCCTTATCATAATATGCCTAGGTACATCCTATATATAGATACAAGAGGTTTAAACAGACCAATGTAAAAGATACAGGTGCACAACCTATCTTATTTATTTAAAATATTTATATATATGTTCTATTATCCCCCTTCAAACTGATGATTCGTAGTAATCGTCAATTTGGTTCGAAGTTGTTGAAACCGATTGGTTGAAATAGGTTTAGTAAAGATATATGCTATTTGATCTATTGTGCTAATAGGTAGAAGTCGAATATTGTTCTTTTGGATGTGATCTCGGACGAATCTTTGATCGATCTCGATGCTTGGTACGTGCGTGAAAGACAGGTTGTTAGCAAGTGCAATGGCCGATGTATTATCGCAAAACATGTCTGTCGGTTGATCTGAAGAGATACCGAAGTCAGTTAAAATTCTTCTGAGCCAGATGATGTCCGCGGTTAGAGATGCTAACGCCCCGTATTCCGACTCGGTAGAGGAGCGAGCAACCGTATGTTGCTTTTTAACAGTCCAGGAAATGAGAGTCTCTCCCAAGAACGAGCAATAGCCGGAAGTCATTTTCTAGACAGAGGATCCCCTGCCCAGTCAGCGTCGGAGAACGATCGAAGAACAAGTGTACTCCTGGTGATCGGGATTCCATAGGCGGTTGTCCCTTTAATGTATCGTAGAAGTCTTTTGAGCATGGCAACATGGGACGGAAGCGGAGCGTGCATAGCTGGGACAAGAGATTGATGGTATATGAGATGTCTGGCCGAGTCAATGTTAGGTATTGCAAAGAGCATGTGATTCTTCGGTAGATGACAGGATCGGAGAGAAACTCATCAGCTGGCTGTTCCGTTGGTGCTTTCGTGCAATTGGGATTTGCGAGGGATTTGCAGTTTTGCATATGTGCCTGTTGAATTATAGACATTGCATAAGGCGTTTGAGATAGAAAATACCGAGCAGGTGACGTATGAATTTGAATGCCAAGAAAGGAACTAGCAATGCCTAAGTTTTTCATAGAAAATTTGGTATTGAGTTGCTCAAGAAGCTTGGCAATGGCATCTTGATTGTTACCTGTGATTAAAATATCGTCTACATAAATGAGTAGGAACATACTTACTTGAGATTGATTGTATATTAACAGAGACGGGTCGGATTTACTGTGTGTGAAACCGAGAGAGATGAGGTGAGTTGTAAATGTGTTGTACCACTGACGGGGAGCTTGTTTGAGACCGTAAATGGCTTTGTTGAGTCTGCATACGTGATTTGGATTTGAGGAGTCTTCGAAGCCTTTAGGTTGCTCTATGTAGATGGTTTCCGACAAGTCACCGTGTAAGAACGCATTTGCTACGTCAAGCTGTTGTACAGGCCAATTGTTATATAAAGCAATAGTAAGAAGAATACGGATAGTTGGTAACTTAGCTACGGGGCTAAATGTTTCGTTGTAGTCGATTCCGTGTTCCTGATGATTGTCTTGAGCGACAAGCCTGGATTTGTAGCGAGCGACTGAACCATCGGCATGGTGTTTTATCCTGAATGTCCATTTGCATCCTAATATGCTTGTGTTAGGTGGTAGCGGAGTTAGCGTCCAGGTTCCCTGCTGTTGTAGGGCAAAAAATTCTGATGCCATGGCTTGTCGCCATTGAACGTGTTTTGCTGCTTCAGTGTATGTGTGAGGAGTTACTTCTAGCTGAGGAGATTGTTGAGCATGGATGAGATTCATTTGTATCTTGGGTTTCAGGGATCCAGTTTGTTTTCTGGTTATCATGTGATGGCAAGGAATGTCATTCACAGTGTTGTTGCTGGATGGTGGAGTTGCTGCGGTAGGGAGACTTCTAGGATTAGAATAGGAGGTGGGTAATGACGTGAATGTATTACACTGTGAGGTATCCTGGGATGAGTTGTTTTGATGGGCAGTAGTAGAATGAGGCAACTCAGGATGGTTGTTATGAGCTGGATTCGTGGTAGTTGACGGTTGCCCTGCTGAGACTGGTTGAAGAAGAAATGGAGAGCTGGACTCATCCGTAGAAGCAGAGGAGCTATGTTGAGACGAGAACGGGAACCTGTGCTCATTAAACATTGTATGCCTGGACATGAAAATTTTGTTAGATTGAGTGTTCAAGCATTTATAACCTTTATAAGTTTCAGAATACCCGAGGAAAACGCAGGATTGAGACTTTGGTTGGAGTTTGTTGCGAAGTTGCGATGGAAGGAGTGGATAGCACTCACAGCCAAAGGTCTTTAAATGTTTGTATTCTGGTTTATAATGAAATATGCTTTCAAAAGGGGATATGTTGTTGGTAGCCGGAGAAGGCATGCGGTTTATAAGGTATGTGGCGGTGATCATGGCATCCGGCCAGTAATGAGTTGGAACAGACGCAGTAATAAGAAGTGAACGAGTTGTTTCCAAAATGTGTCTATGTTTACGCTCAGATGTCCCGTTCTGTTCCGGGGTATAAGGGCACGACATCTGGTGAGAGATGCCATTATTCTTCAAAAAATCTGTGAGATATTGATTGTTGTATTCCAGTCCGCCGTCGGTTCTTAAACATTTAATAGATTTCACAGTTAGTTTTTCAATGTACTTCTTAAATTGAATAAACGTATTAGCAACGTCCGATTTTTGCATAAGAGGATATAACCATGTAAATCGAGAGTGATCGTCGACAAAGATCACGTAATATTTGTATCCTTGATTCGAGACAACTGGTGATGGACCCCATACATCGGAGTGCACCAAATCAAGAATATCGCTGCGGCGATTTACAGAATTATCAAAAACTAATTTGTGTGATTTAGCTAAAACGCATTTAGTACAGAAAAACTGATGAGTAAGAATTTTAAGTTCCGGATTACAATTTGCAATACGAGTGAGTGTTCTAAAATGCGGGTGGCCAAGTCTGTTGTGCCAAATATCCATCGTAGTGGAAGCGGCCGTAAGCGCCGTTGTTGGAGAGCGGTGTTGGACATGTTGGACGGGATACAGTCCATCACGGCAAGGCCCTCGAAGCAGTGTCTCCTGAGTCTTGATATCCTTCAAGCAAAAACCATTAGGCTCGAACGTAATTGAAATATTGTTATCCCGTGTAAGTTTGGAAATGGATAGGAGATTATATTTGAGTTCAGGAATGTGGAGAATCTGATCTAGAGTTAACTTACGTGCCGGGATGGGTAACGAACCTGTACCGGAGTTGGCGATGGACATCGATCTGCCATCTCCTATAGTAATAGAGTCGGAACCTTGATACGGACTGGCAATTGACAGATTGTCAAGGGAGTTGGTTAGATGGGCGGATGCTCCTGAGTCAAGAAACCAGTTATTGTTGGTGGCTGAATCGGACGCTGCAACCATTGCCCGATTGTTGGTATTGGTTGTTTGCGGAACGTATACGTTGAGTCTGTGCCAACAAGATGACGTTGAATGACCTCTTTTATTGCATATTTGACAGATGGAGGTTTGATCTGGAGCGGTTCTTGAGGACGATGATCCTCGGTTGTAATTTCTTCCTCTGGTTCTTTTGTCGCGACCCCTTTGCGTATAAAGAGCAAGAGTGGGATCTGATGGCACGCTAGACCTCGCATTTTCTGCAGCTATGTTTATTTCTTCGCTGAGAAGAAGTGGGTATAGTTGATCGAGGCTTATCGGCGTGATCATGGTTCTGATTGCAGTTTTGAACGCTTGAAATGATGCTGGCAACCCGTTCAAGATGTAGAGGATTATGTCCTCTGTATCTATTGATGAGCCAGCATACGCAATTTGATCGACAAGGGATTTGATATCAGACAAATATTGCGTCATTGCGGTTTTCATAGAAATGTGATGAAGATCGTTCTTTAATTGGATTACTCTAGAACGATTCGATGATGGAAATCTAACTTCAAGAGTATGCCATATGGTGGAGGTGGATTCAAGATTCACAATGTATGGGAGAATGGACGCAAATATGGTGGAGCAAATGGCGGCGGCAAGGTTTTGGTCGGTGAGAATCCATTGATTGTAGAGGACATTAGGTGCGGTAGATCCATCTGCTTTGGTCAAGAATTGGTTTGGAGGTGAAAACAGAGGATCAAGAAATTTTTCAAACCTGTTGGCCCTCAGAAGTTTGATGATTTGCGATCTCCATATACTGTAATTATCAGCGGATAGAGGAATGGGGACGATATTCTTGAGATTGGAAACTATGAATTTCAGCGATGATGGAATAGTAACTTCTTCTTGCGTTACTTGTTCCATTTGATCACTGGTTTGAGATGATAAAGAACTGTTCATGGCTGATGTTTCTTCTCCCCCCACTCTGATACCATAAAGAAGTTATCTTCTTTACACGGCACAAGAACTCATCCGTACAGGAGAAGAGACAGAGTGGAGAAAATGAAAGAAATGTATTATTCAGCCTTATCATAATATGCCTAGGTACATCCTATATATAGATACAAGAGGTTTAAACAGACCAATGTAAAAGATACATGTGTACAACCTATCTTATTTATTTAACATATTTATATATATGTTCTATTAGTTTGGGACAGGTTTCTTCATGCTTTCTAAAGCAGCTTTTTAGCACAAAAATTTCTTGAATTTAAATTTTTTGTACAAAAAAGTCATTTTAAAAAACAGTACAAAAGTTATCCTAAACGAAACCTAAGTCAACAAAACATTTAATAACGTCTTCCTCCATGGCAACCGCTTTTGAGAAAGTCAAAATGAAACTTTCCGCCAAGATATAATAGTAAAGGGGAATTCAATCTACAAGGAGAAAAACTCATTTGCTATACACACAAATCTATTTATGGACTTAAACAAGCAACATGTTAATGGCACTAGAAATTTTTCTAACCTCTTGTTAAGTTTGGATTCACCCAATCAAAATCCTACTACTCTTTGTTCATCGAAGGCACTGGAGTCACATTCACGGTCGCAAATTTCTACCATGTCGATCTTCTAAAGATACATAAACAACATTCACAATCATCAAACACCATCACTATGGATTCAATTGAATCATGCATGTTGAACTTGGTAGAAACTGATACTAACATACAAATAGAATTACTTCACTCGAAATCATCAGTGGCAAACTGAAGAACATCAACATGTAGAATAAATCTTGCAATCAACCCATATATTTTCCCTCAAAGTGCATCACTAGAAGCTGAAAAAAAAAAAAATCAAATGATAGTGTTTCTAAATGGAATTAACTGCAGATCTGTACATGAATGAAGCTCGTAACTTTGCAGCTAATTGATTTTTGGACCGAGATAATAGTTTGGATCTCTAAAAAATCTATAAATTCTTTCAGCTTTATCCACAGAAAGGTCAGTATTTTCCAAAATAGATGCCTTGGAAGCTTTAGAAATTGTCTCAATAGAACCTATGGCACCTGCAAGCTAAAAAAATGGAACAATACTCTTCAAGTAATGAGGAGATTCTTAGCAAAATGATTGCTCGAATGCAAATGCTTGCACAAAGTAACATGGATACATAGGTGTTATTTTAATATGGAATGATGACATTTAGGCTTCGTTTGGGACGGATTTTTTATTGCTTCTTAAAACAAAGTTTAAAAAGCAAAAAAAAAAAAACCATCTCAAACGAAGCCTTAGTCAAACCTTATAAGCAAAGCAAATTTTACATGATATTCATATTCATGAATTGTGAGACTTAGGCTTCATTTGGGACGGCTTTAAGTGTAGAAAGAGTAACCAAGCAACGAATAGGGAGAAGAGATGTAGAACAGAGATTGGAAAAGGTAATAGTATATACGGTATTGGTTACAGAGTTACAACTATATATAGAGCAAAGAGTAATACAAGACACGTCAAGTATGATGACGTGGAAAGGTCATTAATATGACCCTTCAAACTAAGCATTCATAGAGCAAATGGTTAGTTTGTTTCGTAGTTCATTGAATCGAGCTGTAAAAAAGGGTATGGTAAGAATGTCAGTGATTTGGTTGGCGGAGTTGATGTGAGCGATCTTGAGTTCTCCCGAGTTGAGATGATGACGTATGAAATGATAATCGATCTCAATATGTTTTGTTCTCGCATGAAAGACCGGTTGTTTGCCAAGGCGATGGTAGAGATATTGTCGCAGTGGAGAACCGTGGGGGAGTGCTAGTGGATTTGAAGCTCTTGAACAAGACGACGAAGCCATAGTATATCTGAGGTAGCGGAGCATAATAACCGATACTCAGCTTTCATGGAGGATTTGGCGACAGTGACTTGCTTTTTAACAAACCATGAGATGAGGTTGTTGCCTAGGAAGGTGCAAAAACAGGAAATGGATTTTCGGTCGGTCGAGTTTGATGCCCAATCTGCATCAGCGTAAGTTTGTAGTTGAAAGTCGCCAATGGATAAGGGAAGACCGAAGGATAGTGTGCCTTTGAGGTAGCGGAGAATTCTTTTGAGTGCTTGAAAATCTTGAGTCGTTGGATCCTATATATGTTGACAAACATAATTAGTAGCGAACGCAATGTCAGGTCGAGTGATAGAGAGATATTGAAGTGATCCTGCTATTTTTCGGTAGAGGTTTGGATCGCTGAAAGGTTGAGCAGAGCTTGAGTCGTAGTTGGTCTTAGGTGTGATGGGAGTTTGAGCAGGTTTGCAGTCGGCAAAACTGACAGATTGAAGGAGCTTGGCTGCGTAATGGGATTTAATGAGGAAGAAGCCCGTAGAGGTGCGGGAAATCTGTATACCGAGAAATAGAGATATTTGACCCAATTGTTTTAGAGAAAACTTGGATTGCAGTTTGTTGAGGAGTGATTGAATTTTAGATTCATCGTTTCCTGTGACAAGAATATCATCAACATAAATTATTATGTAAATTTGAATGTTATTGCGTTGAAATAAAAGCAGAGAAGGATCGGAACGACTGAACCCGAGGCCGAGAGTGAGAAGAAAGTTGGTGAAGGTCTGGAACCATTGACGAAGAGCCTGTTTGAGATCGTATATTGATTTGTGAAGTTTGCAAACTGAATTTGGTGAATGATCATCGACAAAGCCCGGTTGTTGCCGCATGTAAACATCGTCTTGAAGTTCGTCGTGAAGGAAGGCGTTAGACACATCAAGTTGAAGCATTGGCTAGTTGCGGTGAAGAGCTAAGGTGAGCAGAACTTGAATCGTTGGCATTTTTGTAACAGGACTAAAAGTTTCTGTGTAGTTGATACCAAGTTGTTGATTGTATCCTTGAGAGACTAGACGAGCTTTATAGCGATCTATTTGGCCGTTTGGTAGACATTTTATTTTAAATGTCCATTTACATCCGAGAATTGGTTTGTTAAGAGGGGGAGGAACGAGGGACCAATGGTGTTGTCGGTGAAGGGCTTGAATCTCATTGGTCATTGCTTTATGCCAATGTGAGAATTTTGCGGCTTGGGAATAAGTGGTAGGAGTGATATGGGTTTTCGTAGTGGCTGAGAGCGTGAAGATATGCTTTGGTTTGGTGATTTCCGATTTGAGATGAGTCTGCATTTTGTGAGTGGGAAGAAGGGTGGAGGGAATTTGTCTGCTGTGTGAAATGGAGACTGAAGTGGGATGATAGGAATTATTGGATGTGGATGTAGAAGAGGGAGGATAGGGTGCTGGAATTGGAGTGACGGATTGAGTTGGAGAAGCAGGTAGGGGAGTGGATAGGAGGATGGAATAAGAAGCGAGGGGTTGGTGTATTGAATGTTAGCCGTAGACTTACAGGTAGGAGACGTTTGAGAGACTTTGAAAGGAAAAATGTGCTCGTGAAAGACAGTGTGCCGAGAGATGATGGTTTTACAAGTTAGGGGATTGTAGCACCTATAACCTTTGTGAGCCGAAGAGTAACCCAAGAAATTACATTCCTGGGAACGATGAGAGAGCTTGTCGGTGACGTAGGGATGCATCCAAGGAAAGCAGAGACATCCGAAAATGCGAAGATGAGAGTAAGTAGGTTGGGTGCCGTGAAGTCTTTGGTAAGGAATTTGAAAGAAGATGGTTTTGGAGGGAAGGGGATTTATAAGATAATTTGTTGTAGTAAGCGCGTCCGCCCAGAAAGTGATAGAAAGATTGGCAGCGTGCATAAGAGTGCGGGTAAGGTCAAGAAGGTGCCTGTGCTTACGTTCGGCGGTGCCATTTCGTTCAGGTGTATGAGGGCAGCTTATTTGATGAGTGATGCCACGTTCATGAAGGAAATTTGTGAAGTTATGGCTGGTGAATTCACCGCCACCATCGGATCTAAATAAACGAGGTGTTAGATTGAATTGGGTCCGAATGAGATTGCATAAGTGCTTAAATTTCGCATAGGTTTCCTGTTTGGAATGCATTAAGTAAATCCAGAAAAATCATGAGAAATCGTCAATGAACACAAAATAATATTTAAAACCAGCTAACGATTCTTGAGGAGCAAGTCCCCAGAAGTTAGAGTGTATCAAATTGAAAGGTGAAGAAGAAATTGTAGAGCTTTTATTGAAAGGTAATTTGTGACTTTTTGCCATATTACAAGACATACAAAAAAATGTAGTAGAAACAGAAGAAATTTCAGAGAATCTATTGGCAAGAACAGAAAGAAATCGGTGATGAGGATGTCCGAGTCTGGCATGCCAGATTTGTGAAGATAGAGCGGTGGCTTCAAGAGCAATCTTGGGTCTAGCGGAGGGTAAGCGAAGCTGATAAAGACCATTATGCAGATGACCAAAAATAAGAGGCTGATTGTCCTTGAGATCCTTAATCACAAAACCGTTAGCGTCAAAGGAAATAGAAACAAAATTATCAGAGGTGAGTTTGGAGACAGAGATAAGTGTGCGTGAGAGAAGGAACGTGAAGCAGATTGTTTAGACGAAGCTTACGAGTTGTATCCAGTAAGGGTAGCAGGCCCTATCCAAAATTCTGAATAGGCAAGGAACTTCTATTGGCGGTGGAGACGGAGTCCGAGCCAAAATACGAGTCCGAGTGATGCAGATTGGTGTTGTCAGGAGTGAGATGGGTAGTAGCTCCTGAATCAAGAACCCAGTCTTGCGTAGCGTGGGAGGGAGATCGGGTTAGAAGCGCACAGGGGTTCCAAGGAATAGTCGGAGCATACTTGAAGTTGCACCGATGCCAGCAATTGATAGCGACGTGCCCCAATTTTCCACAGATTTGGCAGACTGGACGTTCAGAAGAGGATTGGGAAGTTTGAGCAGAAGAATTTGCAGGAAGGACGAAAGAATGTATTCTTTCCTTTGAAGGAGCGCCGCTGACCCCGACCCTTGGAGGTATTATCATTGTGCGTGTAAAGAGCGACTGGGTCGTGAGAGGTGTTGGAGTCTTGAAGTTGTTCTTGTTGAATGTTGATCTCCTCGCTGCAAAAAAGGGAGTAAAGAGTGTCGAGATCTATGGGTTGAAGAGCTGTGCGAATTGTAGATTTGAAGGGGTTGTAGGTAGAGGGTAAGCCATTGAGGATGTAGTGGATCATATCCTCCGTGTCGATTTGAGAACCGAAGGCAGCGATGCTGTCGACGATCGTCTTGATTTGAGCTAGATATTGTTGCATAGAAGAGTTTTTCATCTTGATATTGTGAAGTTTGTTCTTGAGTTGGATAACTTGAGAACGGTTCGTGGGTTGAAGTCTGCGTTCGAGAACGGTTCGTGGGTTGAAGTCTGTGTTCAAGAACGGACCAAATCTCATGGGCGGTGGTAGCAGAGATCACATACGGAAGAATCGGAGTTGATATTGTTGAGAATAATGCCGAAATGAGATTGTTGTCTATTAGTTGCCAAGTCTTGTAGTCGGAGCTGGCAAGATCGGAGGGAGGCAGAGTGTCGCCGGTAAGATGTTCGGGGAATCTGTTCGCCATAAAATGCTGGAGCAACTGGAGCCGCCAGATCGCATAGGAGTCGGAGGTTAGTGGGTAGGGAACGAGATTCTTGATGTTAGAAATCAATAATTTGAGGGAAGGTGGAATAGTGAGGTGGGAGGAAGAGTTTGAGAGAGTTGAGGAAGAAGAAGGGAGGGATGTTGTTGATTCTCGATCTGCCATGGCAGCTCTGATACCATGTAGAAATAGCAACCAAGCAACGAACAGGGAGAAGAGATCTAGAACAGAGAACGGAAAAGATAATAGTATATACGGTATTTGTTACAGAGTTACAACTATATATAGAGCAAAGCGTAATACAAGACACGTCAAGTATGATGATGCGGAATGGTCATTAATATTAAGATTAATTTTTTACTAGAAAGCTGCTTTAAAAAGCAGTAACAAAGCCGTCCCAAACGAAGCCTTAGAACAATGGGTTGAGGGGCGAGGGGCACCAGGGCAAGAGTACAAAAATAGAAATTATGTGCAAGGATTGGTCACTTGAGGCAAATTAAACGCCCAAAGTCGCTAATTATTACATAGAATGCAAATCAACCACAAGTGCCAGATTTCAGCTTTCAAAAGCTTGAGAATTAGCTTGGAAACTTGTTCGATCGTTGAAGATGCACACAATATATTGTAAAAGGTATAATGGCAGCAAAATATGATGGATTACCGCATTTGCATCATGGTTATCTATTCCAGGTATGGAGGTGATGACTCTCAGTAAGCATTCCGTTTGCTCAACTGATCGCTTACGCTTGGCAAACCAAGAACAATCATCATTCACACACAAAATTCTATAACAGATAAAGTGTGAAATACATTTAAATTCAACGTACTTCAAGCTTCATCATGGATATGACATCTTGTCGCTTACATACTGTTAACATGTAGTTGTTAGCAGCCTAAGAAAAATTGATTGAAATTTTTGAAAGTTAACTGTTAAAAACATACCACCACGAGCATGAGCAATCTTTACAATCTTCTCAAAACCCATCTCTGGATCACTAACTGGCACAAACGTCGGGTTACCAATCTCCATGGCATGCCTCAATTTCACAAACATTTATAACATTTAGTATAAGGGCATCTCCAACTGAAAATCTCATTTTTCACTCCAAAATACAGTGTAACAAAAAAATGGCGTGATTCATCTCCAATCGAACTCCATTTTGCACCCAGGTAATCGTTTTTCTCCTTCGCACATTTCTTCGGCAAATCCGGCAGACACAAAAAAATAATGCATGTGAATAGTGTAACGCCAATATTGACGTTGCACTGTTCACCCGCAACAAAATACCGGGAGTTTTGCAGTTCAGCTGGAGCTCGCGAGCGATGTCATTCATGTGTTTGGAGTTCGGTTGGAGACCTAAACTGTTGCAAATACGCTTAATGAAGTATAAGGTTGAGATACCCACTTGAAGTATGAGCCGTTAAAAGAATCATTTTGCTCCTTAGTCGGTACAGAAACAACAACATAAAGATGCCTGAACTGTCTTTTCAGAGTCGTAACCCTGCATTGTTAGAATACTGTTAATGGAACACTTTGAATGAACCTAAAGAAAGGTAGCTATGATCAACCTGCTAAAGACAGAAGAGGAATCATCACAATCCCAATTTGTAATGAATATGAAAGCAACAGATGTTCCTCCGTTGTTGAATATAAAATCCTACATGGCATCCATTATTTTGAGTGGTGAAGTTGAGATCAAATCAAAAGAAAGACAAGATATGTAAATACAGGGGCTATCTGAAGAAAGTTAAGCCGATATGAATTTGAATGGAGGAATGATGAAATGAAGTCGATGAAAGATGGGTGCTGCTCCTGTTTCCAGGAAGTACTCATCATGCAGACTCCACCACCTGTACAAATTAAAGAAAATCCCAAATGGATTTTTCCGCTCGTTAGTTCAACTGGGATATTTCTAATAGGTCTGAATCTAGAAGAAACAAGATGCATGGCATGGTGGAAAAACACATCAAATACGTTTAATCCAAACAAGAATAATTGAAAATTATCTCCCACGGAATGTAATAGAACCATCCTACTCAACTTTGGCAAACCATAATATCAGTTATTTCAACAAACAGTCTAACTCCAATAACGAAGGGAGTTGCTGATTGAAAAGATTAATCTCTTCTTGCCTCCTATGTTTGATCAACACTTTTCGACTAGCAGGGGGATTGAGGAAAGAAGTGATTCTAAAATAAAATCCAATTGCTACATGGAAAAATCATCGAGGTCGGTTCAGCTGAAAAAAGCTACCAGTGATCGAAATCGATCACCTTCATACCTTCCAACAAAATCACCAATATCGTAAGGCATTCGTGCCTTATAAAAATCTGAAGAAATTAGGGTTTACCCTTAGCAAGGCCATCGTTCTAATTTCGCCATCAACCGAAACACTGCGATTGTAGTAAAAACAAGAAGGTAAAAGAAGGAACATAGAGAACCGGAAATGGCCGAAGAATCCGCATTCCGATCTCCGATGTTTCCACCGCAGCCCGACGTTCGATTCATTCTGAGACGAAAGCGCGAAAGCCACAGAGCCGTAAACCAACCAAAGAAGAAGCGGGAATTCATACTACATTGAAATTTTCCAAAATCAAAGGCTTCGTTTGGGAAGATTTTCTTATTGTTTTTTGAAACATATTTTTTTTTTTTAAGAATTTTGAATTAAAAAATTTAATATTAAAAATTTATTTTAAAAAATAATAATAAAAAATCATCCACATGCTTTAATTTCATAATTCTTATTTCTTTTAGCTTATAAATAAAAAAATATTAAAATGCTAAATGACTGTAAGAGCTACTTTTATATAGATGAGATGATTAAATTTTTTTTGTTTGATTTTATTAAAAAAGAATACAAAGTAAAATTTGGATGAATTTCATTAATTCTTACTTCGCAGTCCATTTTTTTAATCATTCCGAACTTATTCATTTTTTATTGAATTCTTTTCCACAGCAGAGATGAGAATTTGACTTTTAACCGGATACAATGGCGAAAAAGGATTCATGTAGCCGACCCCACGTAGTGGAACAAATGCTTGATGTTGTTGTCTTTTTCCACAATAAGTTGCCTCTATTGTTGCTGTCAAATCCCTCGGACATCATAGTCAAACGCCACTCGTTGATTTCTACCACCATCCATCATCATTATAGCACTTTATATTGTTTTCATTTTACTTAGGCGCTATTTGGTTGAATTACTTTATGATGTAAAGTATTTCAAGTGCTGGTGTTTTACAAATTTAGGTATTTGATTAGAATACAAAATGATGCAAAGTAAAATATATAAACATAATTTAAGTAAATCAAATTCCTCTAATTTTGAGTGAAAATCATTTATACCACAAGCTTGTTTGACCACCACCTGCTGCTAGGCACCGCCGGCCGCCGCAATCTGCTAGCCACCCCTGTTTCGGATGACTTTTTTACCGCTTTTTAAATCATTTTTTTATAAAAATTTTTAATTCAAAAAAAAAAAAAAACTAAAAAACTACTTTAAAAAAACATTAAGAAAATAGCCCCAAACGAAACCTAAAATTCAATCTAACCAAAAAGTGATTAGAATATTCTAATTGTTTTTCTTTGATATTAGAAAGTTTTAAATTTTTTATTACAAAATCATCCAATCTTTTGGGAAAAAACTGGATCAAATATCATGACCACTTTTTTTTTTTTATCAAGATGAGTTTAAAGTCATCAAAATTGTGAGGATATGGATACATACGAGACTATTATGATGTATTTATTAATTTAACACCTATATTTTAATATTAAGTTACATAACATTCAAAAATTTAAATTACATGAAAGTGCCACTAATATCAACTTTTATGAACTAAAATATATTTTTTTCATGCTTAATAATTGATGTGGTTGAGACAGTAAAGCATTATATAAGTAACTATAAAAATTAAAATGTTAAATATATAAATGTTGGGGTGATTGAATATGAGGAGGATTAAACACCACAATAAGGAAACAAGCAAGAAAGTAAAAAAGCAACTTAAAATAGGAAAAAAAATCTATCGAGCCACTCCACACCAAGAAATTCACTAAGAAAATTGGGATAAATAAGTATAGATCTCTCTTCTCTCTCATTCTCCTTCTCTTTTCACATGCACCGTTCTCAATATATACACTATCAAAATACAAGAGAAACCCAAGTAAAATAACCCCAAAAGATGTAACTCTTTAGAAAAACTAGAAAAAAAATCATCAAATCCGTCTCACAGCGTTGCAGTGCCAATTTGAAGGGTTGCACCGCTTGAACCTTTGTATTGATCCGATGCAGTGCCGTATCCATGTTTCTACGACGCTCTGCGCTCTATCGTTCAGCCCCGAGGCACTGAGATACGTAGTGTCGACGCGTCTGGGTACACAATGCCAATGCATTATATAGGCTTTTTTTTTTTTGTGGAAAACACCCGAACCCAAGCATGAGGTAAACCGCTCGCACCCCCTAGCGTACACGAGAAACTTGAGGTCCGAGGCAAAAGAACAATCCGATTGATCAACACAATCAGATTCCACACATAACATTAAATACAAAAAAATTATGAGGTATGTATGCGAATTCCCCTTAAATTTATTGTAACATAAATGTAAAATAATTTGCGACTTATTTTCTTATGTAATGTTCATTATAAAATAGAAAATTGACTTTATTTGCCCCATAATATTTGAAATTTGAGAAATATGCATGTTATTTCATTTTTATAAGAAATATGCTCGAACATTAATTCCAATCAAATCACTCATTTCTATTCATATAAGAGTGATGGAAGTTCACTAGGAGCTCACGGGCAAGAGTGAACCGAAGAGGAATCAATGATCTAATAAACTTTACTTCTCTACTGTGTACATACTCTTCTTATTCTTCATTGTTTCATCTCAGCTACTCTTTTACGCTTCGAATACGCCATTCAAGTGGACATCTCCCTTACGTATCAGATAAGCACCCTAGCACGAAAGTCATATGTTAACCTGTCAAAATTTCTTTTTTATGAGAAATGAGGAGGAAAGAGGGTTTGTTGACAAAGTCTTAGCCAGACCTTGACTCCTCAAGTCTTCTCCAATGACTTTTCCAGCCTTCAATTCTATATACACAAACTTCCCTTCTCCATCTAACCTAAGAGAAGGAAGCATTAATGGATGCCACCTCTGCTACCCTTCTCCTCCTCCATATTATTCTGTTTTTCTTCATCCTCACTTTTGCTTCTACGGCTCAAAGCAGTCCCAACATAACTTTAGGCTCCTCTCTCTCTCCCCAAGCAAACAGTAACTCAATATGGGCACTCTCACCGTCCGGCGACTTTGCCTTTGGGTTTCTCCCACTCGAACCAGGCCTCTTCTTGCTTGCCATTTGGTTTGCCAAGCTACCATCGAATACTGTCGTGTGGTCTGCTAACACCGTTGATAACGCTGCCGTGGTGCAGGAAGGGTCTCGCGTAGAGCTCACGAGTTCTGGTAGGCTCTCCCTTCTGAACAACACAGGCCAAGAGGTTTGGTTCGCTGACCCGGGAAGTAATATCGTCACTAATGGAGCTATGCTGGACACTGGAAACCTTGTACTTGCCAGCGCTTCAAACACCTATGCCTGGCAGAGCTTTGACAATCCCACCGACACCATTCTCCCCACACAGATGATCAGGCAAGGAGGAAAGCTATCCTCCCGTCGTTCTTCCAGGCTAAACGACTACTCCAACGGGAGGTTCCAGTTACGCCTCCTGCCAGATGGAAATTTGGTCTTGAACACCATTGGCTTCCCAACTGAGCAAGCCTATGAACGGTACTGGATTAGTAACAACACTGATCAGATCACAGATGACAGGGTTTTTTTTAATCCGAATTATGGTGTGAACGTAGTCCAAAACAACACCAACCTCTACAATGTCACAACCACCAACTTCGGCTCAGTAGCTAATCTCTACCAGAGAGCAACGCTTGATTTTGATGGCGTTTTCAGGCAATACAAATACAAGAAGCCTGGTACAAATACTAATGGCAGTTCTCAGAATTCTTGGTTAGCCATGGATTTTGTGCCTAGAGATATATGCACGGATCTCACGATGGGTAACGGAGGAAGTGGGGCATGTGGATTTAATAGTTATTGTAGCATCAATGGAGATAAACCGAGCTGCTTGTGTCCAGACCACTACACTCCATTGGATCCAGATGATATCATTAACCAGGGTTGCAGGCCAGACTTTGAAGCACCAAGTTGTGAGCTGTACGACCCAGCTGACTTTGAAATGGTGGAAAAGTACAATGTTGACTGGCCAAATGGAGATTATGAGCAATTGGCACCAATGGAGGAAGATGGATGCAAAAAAGCTTGCCTGGAGGACTGTAGGTGTTCAGTTGCTGTGTTTGGGAGTGGAAATTGCTGGAAAAAGAAGATGCCAATGTCGAATGGGAGGATAGATCAGAACAATGGAGAGATAGTTATCTTCAAGATAAGTAAGGTGGCTTTGAATGCCTCCCATAATTTTACTATAGGCAACAAAAAGGATAATAAAACTACGGTAGTTATTTCTCTCTCAGCTATTCTTGGTGGCTCAATTCTCATCAACTTCATTTCAATTGCATCTGTAATTCTTCTCTTATTATGGAAGCGCAGACGAGTAGCTGAAATGAAAACAAAGTCCAAGACAATAAAATCAAACCTGCATGCCTTCAGTTACATGGCTTTGGAGAAGGCCACTAACAAGTTCAACGAGGAACTAGGTAAAGGTTCGTTTGGTTCAGTTTACAAAGGGGTGCTCGTATCACTAGGAGAAGTACCAGTTGCCGTGAAGAAGCTAAATGGAATGGAACATCATGGTGAGAAGGAATTCATAACAGAGTTAACTATAATTGGCCGAACCCATCACAGAAATCTTGTGCAACTTATTGGATTTTGTGATGAGGGGTCTCATCGACTTCTGGTATATGAGTTCATGAGCAATGGAACCTTGGCAAGCTATCTCTTTCAGACAGAAAAGCCAAGGTGGGAAAAAAGAGTTCAAATTGCTTATGGAGTAGCTAGAGGTCTATCATATTTGCATGATGAATGCAAAAACCAGATCATCCATTGTGATATAAAACCTCAGAACATATTGCTTGATGAGTATATAACAGCAAGGATATCTGATTTTGGATTAGCTAAACTTCTGCAGACAGATCAGACAAGGACAAAAACAAGTATAAGAGGGACAAAGGGCTATGTTGCGCCAGAGTGGTTCAAGGATAAGCCCATCACATCAAAGGTGGATGTATACAGTTTTGGTGTTGTGTTGTTGGAGATTGTTTGTTGTAGGAAGAATGTTGAGAAAGATTTTGTCGATGATGAGAGGCTAATACTCACAGATTGGGCGTATGACCGCTACACTGAAAGGAAGCTGGAAGTGTTGGTGCAATATGATGAAGACGCCATTACTGACCATAGAAGGCTTGAGAGATTCGTGGCAGTGGCAATTTGGTGCATTCAGGAAGAGCCGTCGATGAGACCTTCAATGAAGAAGGTGCTGCAGATGTTGGAAGGTGCAGTTGAGGTTCCCATTCCGCCAAATCCATCCTCTTTCATCAGCTCAATCAATTGATCAAGCTCCTTTAAATTTGATTTTCTTAGTAATATTTACATGATATTGTATTGATAGCTTCTTCGTCGAAGAACATTTAGGTTGTAAGTGTGTGGGCATGCCTTGAGCAATAAACAGATGCCTATCGCAGGTTGAAGATTTATATTATTACTGTTAAAATGTAATATGATCGTAGGTAACACCTTAATCTAATTATTATTATTATCTATTTTTTTCTTTTTTTCTTTTTATTTTTTTAACACCTTAATTTAATTAATATGGGTAGAAATAAGAAGAACTTAGGATAGGCAATTGCCCGCCTTAATTTCTTTCTTAGAAGAATAAACATTTTAATTATTTTGACCACCGTCAAGGCGTCTACAAATACAATTGCTCAAATTCATACGTAAAATTATATTTTATCCACCCTCAAAAGAGAGGCTGGTTCCACCCCTCTTATTAATAAGAACAACAAGAGAAACAGACAACGGAAAGGAAAAAAGGGAGAATTTAAAGAGAAAATTTACATAATTTTATTAGATTATGAAAAGTATAAGACTTGAATACAAATGACTTTATATGTGAGGTGTTCTCTTTGACCCATATTTATATATATAGGTCAAGATTTGAATTGCAAGAAAGTTATATTTAAGCAACACAATTAAAAAAATAACTTCTTGTTATAAAAATACATGAGGTGTGTGGCCGAAATATATAAAAATATGTATTGATACTTGATTGAAATCATAAGTATATGAAGTTGCTGAGTGGATTGGATGAATGCCAATGAATAGCTTTGGAGATTGGTTGCAGGGGTGTCAATATTGGACACGACCTGAAAACCCGACACGAATATTTCGGGTTTGGGTCAACCCGAACCCAAAACGGGTCGGGTTTAGGTCCTGATTTGCAACCCATTTCAAATTTCGAGTCGGGTTCTGGTTGACCCAGAAAAAAAATAATGACCCGATTTTGACCCGGATCGGCGTATATAAGGGATTAGGCCGAAGAGGCACATGAAATAGAGAAAGATCTTCACAGCGAGCAAACTCCCATCGTTGCTTCGGTGCTTCCGATAAATGTAGCTTACGATCCGACTGGAAGCGAACGTCGTCCAAAGGAGCAAAGTAGAACAACAAGGATATAAGACATTCACAGTGACTCAGCAAGCGAACTCCCGTCATTGCTTCCGATCAAAATGTTGTAACTTCTGATCCGACCAGAAGGGAACGTCGTCCAAGGAGCTAAGTCGAACAACAACGAAAGAGCAGGCGAGGCGGCAACTACTTCACAGCAAGTGAATTCCCGTCGACCCATCGTTGCTTCCGATCAATATGTTGTAACTTCCGATCCGATGGGAAGAGAACGCCATCCAAGGAGCAAAGTCGAACAACAATGAAGGAGCCGAAGAGGCAGCGACGAACTCCCATCGTTGCTTACTTGCTTCGATGCTTCCGATTAAAATGTTGTAACTTCTAATCCGAGGAGAAAAGAATGTCGTCCAAGGAATAAAGTTGAACAACAACGAAGGAGCCGATGAGGTAGCGGCAAATTCCCATCATTGCTTACTTGCTTTGATGCTTCCGATCAACATGTCGTTACTTCCGATTCAAGGGGGAGAAAACATTGTCCAAGAGCGAACAACGAACTAGCGAAGTCGAACAACAATGAAAGGGACTCACTTGGCGAGTCGGGTTCGGGTTGACCCGAACCAAAAGCCGGTCGGGTCAACATTTTCGAGTTTGGCCCGAATCTGACCCGTGACCTGATTTTGACAACCCTAATTGGTTGAGCTCTTAGAGCTACTAATGTGTTCAACATAGTCTTGGTGACTTCATGCTGGTTTTGGGAGTTTAGCATGACACTACCAAAAAATAGATTATTTTGCATCGGTCCTTAGGAGCGGTTTTAAAACCACTTCTAAAACTCCTTTGCACTGGTTTTAAACAGTATAAATTGCAACAATTTGCACCGATTTAACCGGTGCAATTTACACTGATTTAAACTGCAGCTAAAGCCCCGCCCGGTAATTAAATCCCCAATTCCCAATCGGCTCTCTTCCTCTCTTCTTTCAAACCCTAATTATGAATCGTGCCCCGCGTCTGTGTCTCTTCGTGTGGAGCGAATCGCCGAGCGTCGTGACTCTTCTCACACGAAGACCAACCTCGACCGGCCAGCCCTTTCTCACTGTGAGTGCCTTCCCCTTCTTCTTCTTCATATTATTCTCTCTCTTCTTCTCATTTTTTTGAAATCATTTTGCTGAAAATCATGTCTAAAGCCAGATGCCTTTTTGCTCTTACTTTCCCTATGATCACTCCATTCATTAGAAATTTTAACTGGCTCATGTTTCTCCGAAATGTTAACTGGATCATGTTTCTTCCAAAAGACATTTGGAATTGTTTATGATTTCTCATCTATACAAAAAAACTTGATCAAATATGTGCAAACACTATCATATGCCCATTTCATCCCTTACTATTGTTCGTTGTTCTTATCCATTTTAAAATAATGTACTAAGCCATTTCTTTGGGCATATTTACTTAAATGCTGCCAGATGTTCTTTATATTTTCTATGGTACTGGTATAAGCTTTGGCATTTGTCTTATTTCTTGACTTTCACTATTATCTGAGTCATCTTCTTATTCTTCTTTTCTTTTTGGAATATAGAATGTATTGCTCATTAACAGATATTTATTCATACGTTTTATTCGTTATAGACTTTACATTGAAAATTGCAAATTTTAATAAGAAATTCCTGAAGAATTAGGCTTATAACGTGAAATTAATGTTAGCGAGGAAGAAAACAATTATATGAGGAATTCTTCATAGGATTTCTCTCCGAACAAATTTTTTTTTTTACTTTTCTTTTATGATGGTTTAAACCGCCTCAAATATTCAGAAATGTGCCGGTTAAAACCGCAACATTACTAAAAATGAGTTCTTCTGGGAAGTATTTGACTGGCACCATTATAGACCTTTGTAACCGCTGCTACATGAAGCACTTCACAAAATCTACCCTTCTTCCGGTGGTCAAACCGTTGCAGAATGACATTGCATCGTATTATAATTACAGCGGTCGTGCAGCGGTTTTAAAAACACTTCAAAGAAAATTGTGACGGTTAAAACCGCTGGGATAAATCATAAATTGTGCTGAGATTGCCCTATTTTTTTGTAGTGACTTGGCTAGTTCATTATGCACTTGTTGATTTCATGGCAAATTAATATTGAATGTGGGATTTTATTTTGACCCTCATGACTTCATAATGAGCCTGTAGAGTAACTCTTATTACTTATGCAACTTCTCAAAACAAACCCACAAATCCCCCATTGAATAAGCCAACAGCTAAAGTAGAGATTCATCAAATTAACGACTTCTTGGATTAATCAAATTAATAAATGAGCCAAAATTTCTTTAGAATGATTTACTAATGAATCTTTAGTATAAATTGAAAATGATTTAGCAACGATTGATAAAGAATTAATGATCCAATAAATAAACCAGTGATTCCTTCTAGCCACATGCAAAAGTTTTTTTCTTCTATGAAGAGCATTAAATGAAATATTTTATTTAAGATGGTGATTGTTTCTTTATTTTTTAAATATTTTGCAAGATCTAGTGTCCAAAAATTGCAAAAAAACTAGGATGCAATGCTTGAACTTGGCCATTTTTGTGTATTTAAATTTAGTTGATTTGGAGTTGAATCTTATTCATCTTTATTTGCTCAAGTATTTTTTTGTTGATGTGTTATTGAACCGAGTATAGGCTTTTGAGTTGAGTGATTGCATTGAATAATTGTGCATATGAATGTGTGAATATCATAATAACATTTATATAATACTTCCTTAATTAAGTCTTCTTCGGGTTTTCCTCTTTATATATCATTAAACAACTTGCCACTTTAGGTGGATCTCAATTTTCACTCAAACTCTTTATTTTTCGTGGGAATTACATAGACTCGCCACTTAGGGATTGTGCTCATTACGTACGCAATGTGGATTTTATTGCAGAGGGGGAGTTGAGTTCTGCAATTATAGTTTGAGTTTAAATGATATAATAAAGATTAAGGTTGTTTAGTTGGAGGTAAAGTATGTATAAGATATTTCAAATGCAGGACTTTTAAAAATATTGATATTTGATTAGATGAAAAAAGAATACAAAGTAAAATAAATATAGTGTAAATCATTTTAATTCAATTTTTAAAGTAAAGTAAACTTGACCAACTTTGAGTGAAAATTATTTTAATCGCAAGCAACCTTTCTAGCCGCCGACCACTACATCCCTAGTCATCGCTTGCCACCTGTAGCCACCACCTCCACCCATCGCCGCTCGTTGGACGCCACCAGCGGCCACTTATCACCATCCACCACTACCGCTCCCCCATAGGCCATCTCCGCCTACTACCACAGGCCGCAACTATAATATATAGCACATATTCAGTAGTCAAATAATATTTTGGGAGTCATTATATGTCCAATTTATAAACCGTCTTCATCATAATATAGGCATTACTGTGCTTTAATTATAATTAATTTTCTTAATTTTATAGGCAATATTGCATATATAAAAAATAAGAGGTTATGATTTAATTGCAATACTTTAAATATTTGACATGTTGATACAAGTAAGTTTTCTTGGACTATTTATGTGCATGTTTTACTAATCAATTTCACTAGTCTTCAATACCTGTGCTATTTTATGAAAAAAATTAATATTATTTAAAGCTCTGAATTTTATATTTTTATGCAATGCTTGAACTTGATCATGTTTGTGCATTATTGTGCTTTATATATATATATTGAATACTTGTGTGATGTTATGCAAAACAACCTAATTTAAAACTGGACCAATTCCTAACAATTTGAGTTTTAAAAATTTGAGGTTTCATTTTTATTTTAAAATTTTAAAGTAGACTTGAAATGTATTATATTCGCTCCAAGATCAATCTTTAGTAAGGAGTGAGGTAACACTTTATAATGCCTTAGTGGTAATTAAGTGATTTTTATAATTTTGGATCATTTAAGACTTTCATGAAGAGTTTGTGTGGGACAAATTTAGCTTTAAGTATGACGAGTTCTAAATTATTTAGTTTATTATTTTTAATAATTTAATTAGTTCATTAAAAATTTATTTGATTTTTTAATTCTAATGAATTTTAATTTTCATATCATTTAATTATTTCTCC